CAGAACAGGTACGTGAGAAGTAATCACTGGTCTAGGTAGATAGCATAGAAAGCACAGGGATCTTTACTAGAAGGCAGAAAACATATTTAAGTCCTTGTAAAGTGCCAGGAAGAGGAGTTGGGAAGAAGGCAAGGAAAGAGTGGAAAACTGGTTCACATGCCCCCTTCCCTCAAGGAAGTTTGCTTGGTGGTTCAGAAGATGTACCTTTCAAATAAGAGCAAATTATTTGAGGATAGTACAAATTTAATGGGCTATGAGGAGAGACGGTCTCTAGAGCAAATATGCTCTAGAGGATATTGTACTCATTAGGAGAGATATGTTGGCGTGTTTCTTTTCTATGTGGTTCTCATGTGGTTGTAAAGATCAAATTTTAGAGCAGCTAATTCAAAACTACATCTATAGGGGTTGACTGGGCCTGGGTTCCTTTCCTGATTAATTAAGGGAAAGGGCAGAGACTGGTCTCAGCTGAGTTTCTTGTCCTCTTTTCACCAGGTGCTAACATCCTGTTCAAGTATAGCCTATTGCTCTGAGTACTGTATGTGGAAAGTGTTTTGCTCTGATTCAGTTTTTAATCTCCTATCTTCTTTACATGGCCAAGGAGATCATTATTTGCCACTTTTTATGAAGTTGCAAGATTTAGGCAGAGTCTCTGCCATAGAAAATCTCTATAATTGGACCTTGAGCCCTAAGCTTGAGGACTTTAAAAAATTTTTACTGCAGGGGCATGTGGCGTCACTTGAGAGGAGAGATGATAACTCTAAATATTAAGCTACTCCAAAGTTAGTTGTGTGGGATTTCTTTCTTATTTTGTGAGATTCTCTGTACTTACTCCACATGTGACACATTTATTTTCCTTCGAAGTTTTGGAACAGGGAAAGTTTGTGGAAAGCAATTATTCAACTATCTTGTTAGTCATGTTATTCTTATTTCTTTTTATTAACAACAATAGCAACTGACATTTTATAGTGCTTTCAAAATCGCCAAGTGTTTTGCATATTTCATCCGAGCTCCACAACAACTTTGTCATGTAAGCATTATATATCACTATCCCCATCTCATGTACAAGAACAGTGAGGAACAAAGAGAATAAGTAACTGCCTAATGGTCACATGGCTTATCAGATGTGAGATTTGAACATAGCTCTTTCTAACCTCAAGGCCAATTCCTCTATCCAGTCAGTCAACTGGTATCTGTTAATCTACTACATCACACATCTCTTTTTCTCCTGTCCCTGACTCCCATTCAACTCAATCATCTTTCTAGTCAAGTTGTTCAAAATGTGGGAGTGGAGGGGAAAGACATTTTAAAAGGCCCAAGTAAATATAGCTTTCACCTCTCTGTTCCAAAGGCTGCTCCAAATGGAAGTCTGCAGCCTATGATAACTGAACAGTAGAAAAGCTCACGTCACTGCATAGTGATCATATGCCACTAGTAGGCAAGACAGCACTCAGCAGCCCCAAAGAAGAATATATAACCCATGTGAGATGCCCAAACAAGAAAAGAGATGGTTGTGTCCTTGACCAGAAGGGTTCCCAGTATCATGGTTACTGTGATCAAGTTGAACCAGATTTCTAAGAATGATAAGAATGATTTCTAAGAATGATTCCTCTTCTTGAGGAAGAAAAAGGTGGGGCTAGGCAGGGCAGAGTCAGCTATAGTAACCAGTGGTGCCCAACATTATGAAGATGTTGCCCACAAAAGTAACAAAATAAATTGTCAGAAACAGGAGGAACAATAGATTCTTAACTTGGGGGTACAGTAGAGAAGCTCTCAAGGAAAAAACACACGATTGTACTGCTCTTTCATGCCATTCTCTTTGTCAGAACTTGTGGAGCATTCAGACCTCAGAGAGGTGAAAGGATTGTGCTTCAGCCCAAGGGAATAGGGAATTTATCATCCACTATTTCCACTTCCATCATGCCTTCCAGACAATGGCTTCAAAAGAATCCTTTCCTCTAACATTCTTCCCTTGTTCTTTCCTCAAAAGTCTGAAAATCCAAACATTTGCATCTTCCAAAAGAACAACACACTTCATAGGATGAATACAACTGAATTTCAGACTCTCCCTTAAGCTGTAAGTCCTTTACACCCTAATTTCTGTTGTCCTGCAGAAGAACATCAGAGAAATTTTTTGGCTTTGGTTTTTTTTTTCCTGTCCTCTCTCCCTTTTTGTCTGACAAAAAGGTTTTACAGCTATTTTGTTGGTCTCCATGTGGATTGGAAAAGAATCATTTGGCTGAGAGTTGATTGGTTCTTTGGAGGACAGCTGAGCCATGCTCCTGTGTGGAGAGCATGTTAGAACATGTTATTTCATGTTTACAACCTGAGATTAAGAGATTAATAGTTTTAAATAAGTTTATGTTCTCTGGACATATTTCCTTTTGCTGCTTTAATCAAATATAATTTAAATAATTCATCATTGGCAAGGGAAAGTCAGGTGGTGTGGTGGATAGAGAGACAGAAAGACTCATTTTCCTGAGTTCAAATCTAACCTCAGATACTTACTAGCTATGTGACTCTGGGCAAGTCACTTAACCTTGTTTGCCTTAGTTCTTCATCTGTAAAATGAGCTAGAGAAGGAAATGGCAAGCCACACCAGTATCTTGGCAAGGAAGCTCCAAATGGGGTCATGAAGAGTTAAGCATAACTGAACAACAACAACAACAACATTAGTAAATTCCTTTGCTTGCTTGGCTAATACATGAACCACTCAGAAACTTACTTTGGTTTCACCTCATTTTCATATTATATATTTGTCAAGAAATTTTGTTGTGATGACATATTCCATTTTAAATTTTCTAATTTTTTGGCCATTGTTTTCCTGTCAGTTTGGAATATTGTTAAGAGTGTTTAGTTTGGTAATGTTTTGATACATTATATCCTTTTTGGCACAGTCATAGTGTCATTGTATAATAAACACAATACTTTGCCATCCAATTTGATAACAAAATAATCCACGTGCCACTGAGCCTTAAAGACATGACATTAGAAATCTACTTTTCTCTGCTTTTCTTATTTTAACATGATGGGTATGTACTGTAAAAAAAAAAAGTCATGCAGTGATAAACATGGCACTTGAAATGTTGTTGAGTTATAACTACTTCACTATGATTTGTAGTATACTGAGCAGCAGTGTGAAGATATGAGACTGTCACATATAGTATTGACCTAAACTACTCAATTCTGCCATTGTAGTGAGAAAGCAGCCATAGACAGTATGAAAATTATTGAGCACAGCTGTGTTTTCAATTTTATTTACGGACACTGACATTTTAATTTGATGTAATTTTCACATTATGAAATATTTAAATATTTACATAATAGCACCTACCTCACAGGATTGTTTTAAGTATCAAATAAGATAATATTTGTAAAGTTTACAACTATAACACTGGCACATAGTAAGCACTTAATAAATGCTTGTTCTCTTCTTACTTTTTTCCCCTTCCTCCCTCCCTTCATGTAGTTGATTGTGAAAATCCCAAAGGCTTGGAGATTTAAGTTGCTGTGTTATCAGTATTCACCAATTGGGGGTTCATATCTAAAGAAAAGACTGAGAATATTTTTACTAGGAATATAGCTAGTCTTGATGGGGCAATGAGACCGGGACCCCTAAAAGCCCCCACACATAACGCAGCCTTTTAACTTTCCCACACTGGTATTTTGCCTGAGGCATCTGGTCCATCCCAGCCCACCTAGATACTCAATAATCCTTTTAACTACCCTTTCACTGTGGCATTCTGATCTCTTAGCTCCTTTCACTGTCTCTACCTGGAACCTCCAGACCATTTACCACTCCTTAATCCCATCTAGACCCTTTCTCTATTGCTCCTGGGACACCCTAGGCTATTTACCACTCCTTAATCTTATCCAGATATTCTCACAGTCTTTTTTGTAGGTAAATATTAGTCCCATCCTCATCAAATTGGCAGATTTACTAGGAATCTTGCCCACCATACTGGTATTATGCTACTTTGACTGAAAGAAGGCTTGAGTGGTCAAATTTTTTTGAGGCAGACTTGCCCTGTACCCTTACATTTCGGGGTTCCCAGCACCCCAAACCACAACAGACTTATAAAGGGTTAGTAGCCACTATTTGTGAGTGAGGCACCACCATGAATGTCTTCACGTCACAACTGAAGTTGAAAGAAAACTATTCTCCCAGATGGAAGGGGGCAGAGAAAATAATGTCCCAGAGGAGAAGTAAGTCTGGGGGAAGCTCTGCCCACACAAACACAGGAGTGAGGCAAAAAAAGGGACTGGTAGCAGTGCCTACCTGCTTACCAGCAGCCCAGTAAGAACTATTAGAGTTTGTTTGTTAGATAAATTTTAAACTCAGCTCTCTCATCAATGAAGTTCTCTTTCTCCTTTCCATTTTAAAAGTCTCTCTACAATCATCACAGTTAATGCTTAATTCCTCAAGAATGACAAACTCTCTGTCCTCTCATAGACTCCTCACAGATGATAGCTAAACTGTAACTCCTCAAGACTCTACTCCCTTTTAAAGATGAGTAACAGTACCCGTAGACAATGTGTAAGGGGTTACTGAAACTGACGTCATATACTTCATACATTTAAAGAATTAGGCAACTTCAGCATGAAAGTTTTTTAAACCAAAAAATATTTTCAAGAAAATGATGTTACTTAAGAGATTAGAGGCTAGTAAAAAAATGCTTCAGACCACATGTTCTATAGTCTATCAAGCATTATTATGCTTGATGTTATGATTCCACATCCATAGTATTCATTTCAGTCACCCATATAAGAAAAACCACTCAGTTCTCCACAATGATTCATGCATCTGCTCACACCTCTCACCATGATTGAAGACATAATACAGATGTACAATATGCAAAAATTGTGTCTAGAATTGAGAGCAATGCAAACTGTCCTCCAGGGTTCTCTATCCTCAGTGACAAGGAAAAGGCCATTTCTTCCAAAGTATGGAGTACACAATAAGGGTTTAAGATAAGGGATACTGACAAATAAGGATTATGATATCAGAATCTACCCAGTGGTCTCTTAATAACTGCATTTCTGAGTGCCCGCTTCACATCTTTATTCTTCAAGCTGTAGATGAGAGGGTTAAGCATGGGGGTTATCACTGCATAGAACACAGACACCAGCTTCCCCTGCTCCTTAGCAGTCTTGGGTGTCATATAGGAAATTATGGCTGACCCATAAAAAATGACAACTACAATAAGGTGAGAGCCACAGGTGGAGAATGCTTTGAGTCTCCCTGAGGTTGTCTTCATCCTGACAACGGTCACTATGATACATCCATAGGAGACCAGGATCAGGGTCACAGGTGCAAGAAGAATCACCACACCCATAAGGAAAATGGCCATCTGTGAGCTGTGGGTGTCTGCCGATGCCAGCGCCAGGAGAGCTGGGGGCTCACAAAAGAAATGGGGAATCCTATTCTCCCCCTGGTATGGAGGTCGTAGTGTGAATGTTGTATCCACCATGGACACTAGTATTCCACTGGCCCAGCACCCTAAGGCAAGCTGGATACACACTTTCCATGTCATGATGAGAGGATAGTGCATGGGCTCACAGATAGCTAAGTACCTGTCATAGGACATCACAGCTAACAATGCACATTCTGTACATCCAAAAAGGAGGATGAAAAGAAGCTGAGCTGAACAGCCCATGAAGGAAATGAATTTTCTCCTGGAGATCATATGGACTAGGGCTTGGGGAACAATGGTGGTAGAGAAACAGAGGTCAGCTGTAGACAAGTTGCACAGAAAAAAGTACATGGGTGTATGAAGCTGTGAGTCAGAAAGAACCAGGGAGATGAGGAGCAGGTTTCCAAGCACAGTAACCAAGTAGACCACCAGGAACAATACAAAGAGCAGCAACTGGGTCTGAGGGTCATCAGTAAGTCCAAGGAGGAGGAATTCTGTTACCCAGGTCTTGTTCGTTTGGCTCATATTCTTCCTTCCTTCTTTAGGAATTAGCCAACACCTTCTTAACATGGGGATGTAACCTATAGGATTACAGAATCTTAGCATTAGAAGAAACTTCAAGATTACTTAGTCTAGCCTCTCAGACAACAGCTTCCCTGGTGGTGGCCATTGAAGACTTCCAATGAGAAGCAGGGCACCACTTCATGAGGAAGTAATTTCTTTGCTGGACAGTTGTAAAACTGAGATGAAATCTTTCCTTCTATGATTTATACCCACTGATCTCAGTTATTTTGGTTGGAATAATGCCAGCTAATTTCAACCTTTCAAAGATGGTTCTTTCCTACTTTTTCAGTCTTCTGGTGGTACCAATGGACTTGGAGTCAGTTATGTCCTGAGTTCCAATTCAGTCTTAGACATTTACTAGCAATTATCCTCCCTGGTCTCTCCTGAAACTGCCATGATATTGACTAAGCCTCTACTGGAAGCTCCTGTAGTGTGATCCTGGGCAAATCACTTAACTTTTCCATACCTCAGTTTCCTCATCTGTAAAATGTAGATAATAATAGCACCTACCTCCCAGGGTTGTTGTGAGGATAAAATGTGATATTTGGCAAGTACTTTGTAAACCTTAAAAGTACTAAATAAATATTAGCTATTATATTACTACTAGTACAAGTATTACTGCCATTGCTGCTACATCTCACTCCCCTTCACATACTCTATGATCCAATGACACTGGCTTTATTCCTTGCACATGACACTTCATCTCCTGACTTGGTGCCTTTTCACTTGTCGTCTTCCATGCCTTCAATGCCCTCTCTGCTTGTCTCATTTTCTTGGCTTCCTTTAAGACTGGACTCAAATCTGACCTTTTCAAGAGCCCTTCTCCACCCCAACCTCTCATTTCTACTCCCTTCTTTTGACATTACATTCTATTTACTCTGTATATAATTTGTATGTCTATAATTTGCCTGTTGTCTCTCCTCTTAGATTGTGAACTCCGAGAGGAGTTGAGGATCTTGAGAACCAAAAGTAGTCATTAAGCTGATGCCTCATTGATCACTCTGTATTCTTTTCTCTCTGTTATTATTAAGTTTTTAGCAAATGTAGGGTTTCCAACTAAAATCTCCCCTTCACCCAGATCCTTAAAAAAATCAATCATTTAGATCTATGTACCCTAAACCAGGGGTGGGGTACCTATGTCCTCAAGCACCAACGTGACCCTCTAGGTCCTCAGGTGTGGCTCTTTAACCAAGTCCAAACTTCACAGAACAAATCCTTTTATTATGGGGATATGTTCTGTGAAATTTGGATTCAGTCAAAGGGCCACACCCAGGACCTAGAAGGCCATATGTGGCCTCGAGGCCACAGGTTCCCCAACCCTGCCTAAACTTCTGAAATTTGTTTTGTTTATGAAATAGAATCATTGACAGGAATGAAGCAGGAAAGGGAGCTATGCTGCAACTTAGGGAAATGAGACCAACTGAGAATGAAATGTAAATTTCTGGATCCAGAAGGAAAGCCTTCTAGAATTCAGGAAGAGGAAGATTTTGTCACTTACTATGATTACTGAAGCAGTGATCTTGCCCACCAATGCTCACTGAGTGTGACTTACAGTCCCCTCATCATCTGAGTTTCTCTGCTTCTCAAGTTATCAATGTCTTTTCAAAACCGCACCATCCAGAATGAAATATAATACACAAGATATGGCCTGAATAAGGAAGTATGGAGGGACTATCAACTTCCTCATTCTGGATACTATGCCTTTCATAATGCATCCTAGAAGAGGGCATTATTTGGCTTTTGGATGACCTTGCTGACTCATTTGGGTTGTAGTCAGTAAAATCGCAAGACTTTCCATGTATACGGGGGTATAGCCATACCTCTCCCATGCTGTACTTGTGAAGTTTTTTTTAACCCAAATGTAGAACTTTGTATTTCTTCCAATTACATATATTTTCACTCATTTCAGCTCATAATTCTAGTCTGCTGAAATCTTCATGTATTCTCATTCAATGTGTGGTAGATTTCCTACCCACTCTTGGTGCCATGTGCAAATTTGATAAGGATAACATCTGTCAGGCAGCTAAGTGGTTGAGTACATAGAGTGTTGAGTTTGGAGTCAGGAAGACCTGAGTTCAAATCCAGCCTCAAACACTTACTCGTTTTGTGATTCTGGGTAAGTCACAGACTCTGTTTGCCTTAGTTCCCTGGAGAAGGAAATGGCAAACCACTCCAGTATATTTGCCAAGAAAACTCCATGGATAGTATGGTCCATGGAATGACAGAGTCAGACACAACTGAATGAATGAACAATAACAAACATCTTTATCCAAATCATTAATAATGTTTGACATCATGGAGCAGGGATAGGATTTTGACCACTCAATTTAAGACCCACCTCCAAAATCACATTAACCCATTAGTCTTTGTATCTGGTCATTCAACCAGCTCTGATTTCATCTAGCAGTAAAATTATTTAGTCAGCTTTTCCATCTTATCCAGAAGAATAGTATCACAGACTTTCAGATGTTTTGCTGAAATACAAGTGTACTTTTCTACAACATATTCCTGATCCACCAGTCTAGTTACCCTTTCCAAAAAGCAAATGAAGATAATTTGATAATACCTGCTTTTTATAAAACTATATTAGCTCTTAGTGATCACTGCAATAATTTACATGAGGATAACCTTCTATCATATGTTGTGTCCATTGCTAAAGGCCAAGGCCTTATGGAACTTCTTTTGAAGAGTACATGTATACTTACATTTTATATCATATTTCTCTTAGTTTATGGAATCCTCATCTGATTCCTAAAAAAGGAAGCCAATCTCTGAGTGAGAAAACCAACAGGAAAGGAATTTTATGACTCTGAAAGCTGCATCTGTGACAATCCCATTGTAATTGAGCCTGAATCCCTCTATGGCAGGGGTATTTAATCTGGGGTCTATGAACTTGTAAAATATTTTGATAATGATATTTCAATCTAATTAATTTAATCTAATCAATCTAATTTCTTTTGAAATTCTATATATTTTACTTTATGCATTTAAAGACATTATTTTGAGAAGGGGTTCATAGGCTTCACCAGACTGCCAAAGGAGTCAATGACCTAAAATATTAAGAACCCCTGATTAATGCCCTTTCTGCAAAAAAGAATGATGCCTCTAGAATAGTCAGTACATTTGTGTTCACACGAACCTTGGGAATACAGGACAGTTTTATTCATTCTATTACCTTCAATTTAATAAGACTATTTTTTAAACTATTGACTAAGATATAGCTCTATTCTAGGATTTTCCTAAGACTTGATTGCCATAAGAGATGTGAAAGTGTTTTATAACCTCTAAGATTCCATTCAAATGCATTCACAACTGGCAGAGTAGCAAACCTTCAGATCAAAAATTCCTCATATATACCAAATGCATAGATGTGCTGGCTCACAAATGAACTTCTAAGCACAATATGTTTATGAATTAGGAACTGTTTGTATAGAAAATGCCACCAATTTAGACAGCATTAAATATAATTGGTGGTTGTTCCAACTGATTTGGTCTAAGTTCTCTTTGGGTTATCTATGGAGAAAGGGTGAAATGAATCAACGATGTGGACAAAATTGGGAGTGTCAAGAATATGTTCAACTGCCTTAAGAAGTGACGCATTTTACAGATTCTAGAATATTAATTGTTCAAACTAGTGCCACTAACTATAACTACATTTATATGCTTATTAAAGCACAACCCCAGGACTTCTTGGAAAGATTTTATTAGCAGTAGGCATTAGTTGTGAGCATTTGAAAGTGCTGAATAAATTTCATTTACACATAGACTAAGGTTCACATTCATCTTGGTAGTGCCCTCAATTAGCTAAATTTAATGAGATTTCACTATTTTAACTCTTTTATAAAAAAAAATCATACTTCCTAAAAAGAAAAAACGATGTTTCAAAGGTGCGACATATGTATAAAAATTGCCTGAGCATTAATATTTTTGACCTCTAGGTCTAGTTCAACCTCATATTTGCTATCTCGGTGCTCTAATTCACTCTATCACCCATGCTCCCTTTTCCTGAGAATAGGTTGATTATATTCAGGTTCCAAAAAGACAAAAAAGGTAGGTCTAGGAAAAAGTAAAGTCTCATCTTCTCCTGTTTCTTTCTTGAGATGTGAGAAAGAGCAGTTAAAGAATACTCATAGAATCAGAGAATCTCATAGTTGGGTAAAATCTCAGACCTTAGCTAATCACATCTATACTCCAATAGAAATTCTTTTTACAAAATCCCCAAGTTTTTAATACCACCTAGTGATGAGGATCTCAGTACCTTCAGAGGTAGCTTGTTCCGTTTTTGGATACTTCAAATTGTTAGAATGTTTTTATTTATATTGAGTATAAATCTGCTTTTCTACAACTTTTACCCTTTGGTCTAATCTGACTGTATGTCAAGTGAAAGAAAGTTTCTCTTCCATTTTATAACACATAAAATACTTGACAAGAGGAATCTTGTCTTCTCTACCACCCATGAGTCTTCTCTCCTCCAGTTTAGTTATTCCCAGATCATTCAAGTTAACCTTATTTGGTGTGACTAATAGTTTTCAACATTATCGTCACAATTTTCTTGACATGCTCCAGGAAATTATGTCCTTCTTAAAATATAGTTCCCAAAAGTACAAAATTTTCCTGATATACTCCAACCAAAGAATACTACAATGGGACTATAACACCTGATGCTCTGGATACTGTTTCTAATAATGCATTAGCTGTGGGTTGCCATTTGGCATTGTTGAATAATATTAACTTTGCAGTGTTCTAAAACCCATAGGCTTTTTTTTTAATATGAGCAGTTGTTACTCTATGCCCTCTTGTGTTCCCAATAATTTGAATATAAATGTGGGATTTTACATTTGTCTTTATTCACTTTTATCCTTTAAAATTTCTCTCACTGTTTTATTTTTGCCAAGATTTTTTGGATCCCAATTATGTCATGTGATATGTTATTAATCCCTCTACATTTTATGTTACCCAAGACTTTGATAAGC